GATGGAGTTTCTGCGGGCCCAGAAGGTGGGTGGGAATAGGGGATGGCCAAACCTCCATTCACCAAGTGAGTGTGGGGAATAAAAGTAACAAGGGGAATGTCGCACCTTTTCAGTTGTCCAGGTCCGGAGTGTCCTTGGGGCTACTCGGATATCTTCTGGAGGCTATGCCCATAGCCTCTTTTTACTCATTTGGCAAAGTCTTTTGATGCATATACATGTTTAATTTTTAGGAGGTCCTAGTCATCTACTTTGTCTTCTGCTGTCTGTGCATTTCTAATTATGTTTGATAGTGTATTTATGCCATGTACTAGGGTCCCTAAATGTGCCTCTATTTTTTCTTTGGTCATCTTTTTGCATTTAAGTCTTTGTTCCATCTTAAGTTAGTTTTTACATATGGACAAAGATCATGAACAGATACTCTTCACCAAAGAAGACATTCAGGTGGCTAACAAACATGAAGAAATGCTCGTGATCATCAGCCATTAGAGAGATGCAAGTCAAAACAACAATGAAATATCATCTCACCCTAGCATTCATAGCAAAATTCATAAAACAAAACAACAAATACTGGTGAGGATTTAGACAGACCGGAAACCTCATAAACTTCTGGTGGGACTGTAAAATGGTATAACCATGTGGAAACTGATAGGACACTTCCTTAAGAAGTTGGAAATAGAAATACCACATGATCCAGCAATTCCACCACTACGTGTATATCCTAGAGAAATAAAAGCTGTGAAGCAGATACATGCACATCCAAGTTCACTGCAGCATTATTCATAACAGCAAAAAGATGGAAACTACCTAAGTGCCTATCAACAGATGAATGGATCACCAAATCATGGTAAATCATACAATGGAATACTATGTAATGTTAAATAACAATAGTGAATCAGTGAAACACTTCATAACATGGGATGAACTTAGAGGACATTCTGTTGAATGAAATTAGTCAATTACAAAAGGACAAACATTGTATGAGACCAGCACTATAAAAAGCAAGAAAAGGTTTACACACAGAAAGAATCATTCTTTCAGTTTCTAGGGGTGGGAGAAGAAGGGAGGGTAAATCACTAACTAGAGGATAGATACATATTAACTTAAGTGAAGTTAAAGGCAATGTACAATAAAGGGGGAGGACAGCAAAATGATCAAGGCAGTAGAAGACACAGGGAAGACCACAAGAGATAAAGGCACAATCCTGCAATAACAATAATCTATAGATGGATACACAGATAGACACTAAAGGTAAAAAGGGGTGGGAAGGCAAATGGAAGGCTTGACAGAGGATATCTCTATTTATGTATTTATATGTGCCGCAAATATACACAGGAATATAGTAGAGCATACGGAGGGAAAAATTATGAAAACTTCTCAGTCATAACCAAACACCTTAAAAAAATGAGTCAGTGGGCATGGAGGCTCAAGACCACAGTTTTGGGGAACACTACGGTCAACTGGTATAACACAGTCCATAAAGACAATGTTCTATATCCTACTTTGCTAAGTAGTGACTGGGTCTTAAAAGCTTGTAAACAACCATCTAAGGTGCCACTAATGATTTCTCTCCATCCAGAACAAAGAGGAGAGAAGAAATACAAAGAGACAGGGAAACACTTAGTCCAGAAGACTAATGGACCCTGTGAACCCCAGCCTCCATGACCTTGTTGTTGTTAGGTGCCACTGAGTCATTATTGGATATGAGCAACCTCATATACAACAAAATGAAACACTTTCTGGTCATGTGTCATCCTCACATTCATTGGCATACTTGAGCCCATCATCACTACCACTGTGTCAATCCATCTCATTGATGGTCTTTCTCCTTTTTTGCTGATCCTCTATTTTACTAAGTATGATATCCTTCTTCAGGGACTGGTCCCTTCTGACAACATGACCAAAACATGAGACATAGAGTCTGGCCATTCTAACTTCTAAGGAGCATTCTGGCTTTACTTCCTTCAAGACAGATTTGTTCATACTTCTAGAAGTCATTGCACATTCAATATTCTTTGCCAACACCACAACTCAAATGAATTAATTCTTGAGCAGTTTTCCTTATTCATTGTCCAACTCTCACATGTATATGCGGGTACTGGAAAAACCATGGCTTGGGTCAGGCACACCTTAGTCTTCAAATTGACAACTTCACTTTTAAATGCTTTAAAGAGGTCTTCTGAAGCAGATTTTCCCAATATGATACATCATTTGATTTCTTGACTGCTGCTGCTCCAATGGTGCTGATTATGGATCCAAGAAAATGAAATTTTTGACAACTTCAATCTTTTCTCCATTTATCATGTTGTTGCTTATTGATCTAGTTGTAAGGATTTTTCTTTTCTTTATGTTGAGGTGTAATCCATACAGAAGACTGAAGTGTTTGATTTTCATAAGTGCTTCAAGTCTTTTTCACTTTCACTAAGCAAGGTTGTGTCATCTGCATGTCACAGGTTGTTAACGAGTCTTTCTCCAATTCTGATGCTGTGTTCTTCTTCATATAGTCCAGCTTCTCGGATTATTTGCTCAGCATACAGATTGAGTACCTCCAGCACTGTATCTGTTTGCTGAAACATCATCTCAGTGGGTATTCTTTCAATTCCTGAAGGCTTGTTTTCCACCAATTCCTTCAGCACAGCTTGGACTTCATCCTTCAATATCATCGGTTCTTGATCATATGCCACCTCCTAAAGTGGCTGAATGTTGATCAATTCTTTTTGGTATGGTGACTCTGTGTATTCCTCCCATCTTCTTTTGATGCTTTCTGTATCATTCAATATTTTGTCCATCCAATTCTTCAACATTGCAACTCAAGGCTTGATTTTTTTTTTTTTTTTCAAATCTTTCAGCTTGAGAAATGCCAAGTGTGTTCTTCCCTTTTGATTTTCCAATTCCAGATCGTCTCACATTTCATTTTAATACTTTACTTTGTTCTCTTGATCCACCTTTTGAAATCTTCTGTTCACTTTAGGCACTGTCTATGACCATGAGTCCAGAAAAACTAGATGGTGCCTAGCCACCACTGAAAAGGATCACAACAGGAAGTCCCAGAGAGAGTGGGAGAAAAATGTAGAACAAAACTCAAAATCATAAAAAAAAAAAAAGACCAGGATTACTGGTTTGATGAAGACTGACAGAACTATGAGACTATGGGCCTCAGCCACCCTGCAAGCTGAGAACTGAATGCAACTTTCAACTAAACAAAAGAGAAGCCTATAAGGTAAACAATAATACCAGGAAGTTATGCACTCATTAGAATAATCAAGCATATGAGATCAAAAGGATTTGCCCAGGGAGAAAGCTAAGAAGGCAGGAAGGGATAGGAAAGAAGCACAAAGCAAAGTGGAAGATGTATGGAGGAAGTGGGAAGAGTGCTGTTACTTGTGGGGATTGCAGTGAATGTCACAAAACAGCATGTGTATGCATTGCTGAATGGAAAAACAATTTGCTCTGTAAACTTTCACCCAAATCACAATAAAAAAATAAAAAATTAATCACATGAAAAATTAAAAAGCTGGGAAGAATCAATTTATGTTTCAGAAAAATTCAAGAAACACTATTAACTCAACAATGAAATACATAAATTTTTTTTAATATGAAAAGGAGAAAATATACTATTAAGATGAATAATGGATAACCGAACAGAGATATTAGAAGGTATACAACCTTTATTTCCTAAACTTAAATTTTAATCACTAATTTCAGTAATTCTCCGACAAGCTGATAAGTTTCCTCTGTAAAGAGAACTGTCTTTGAAGTTTTTGCAGTAGATAACTTGTACTGAGGGGCTGTAGAAAAATTTTGCAAACTCTAACAGCAAATCAGAAGACAGCTTCAGCAGACATTTCGCCAACTAGCCAACATTAAACAGTGCTTTGACTCATGATAACGAGAAAAATATACACATTATCTTCATTTTGCCTCTAGGCCTTGATACCATTATCATTCTATGGGTAAATGGCTTTGCTAAAGACACTTAAAAGTTTTGACTTGATGACAAGAAAACAGAGTATCAGAGCTCAACAAAGTTTTAAGACTACAAAGAGTCAAAAAATTAAATTAATAGAGATGGCAGAAATATATATAGTGTAAAACAATTCAATAATGTAAACAATTTTGTAGTCGATGGACAGAAGCAATGAGAACAGTATGTGTAGCAGCAACTGCTGTTGGTCACTCTATATCCATTCTCTCTTCAGCATTATAATTTCTTATTTTCAGCAAGGTCCATGACTATTCAGCTAAAGACAGCACTGCTCACTCTCACCTGCAGTTAAGTATGGCCATGTGATTAAGTTCTGGCCAACAGGATGTGAGCAGAAGTGATGCATGCTAATGATATCATAAAATAGAATGGGATGTATCCTGTAGTCTTCCTTTTCCTGCTCCTGGTAGCTAAAATGTTGTAAACCATTTTATTAAGCATCCCAGTGCACCAATATGGAAAAACCTGGGTCCCCAGTACTGTGAAGCTTGGTACGATTTACACCTCCTGTTATGTGAGAGAGAAATGAAAGTACAGCCTCCTCATTAAACAGAGTAATATTCACAAAGAAAATATTGTTAATCTACGGGGTACCACAGAATCCCTTACAGATTAGCTGCTGAACTAATTAATTTGCATTAAAAAGTTGAACAGAGGACCCTTACAAACTGAGCTGCCACTGAACAAAACACTAGTATGCCCATACTCATGTACACACACAGATTGTTCTTGCATATGAATTATGGTCTTCTATAAGTTCACTGTCTTAAATACGATTGATAAAGAAAAAAAAAAAAAACCTCACTGCCGTCAAGTTGACTCCTAGCAACCCCTCCTTGGGTTTCCAAGGCAGTTATCACTACTGAGGTAGACTGCCCAACCTTCCTTCCGAGGAGTGGCTGGTGGGTTTGAACCACCAGCCTTCTGATTAGCAGTCAAATGCCTTAGGCACTACACCACCCTAGTATGCTTATGACTCTATAACAAGAAAAAAGCATTTTAAACCTTTGATACTTACTGACACATTAGCACTATCACTGCTGGCAATCTCAGCCGCCTTTTCAATAATCTGTTTAAAAAAATATTTAATTTTAATATTTGGCTCTTATGCTTATAAAATTTTCAACATAAATGAAGTAATTGTACTTAAGACTAAAAGGGACTAATAATATGGGTTACTATTTCTGTGCTTTACAATAGAAAAATGAATTTTAAAAGCAAAATGGTACTATGCAGTGCTTTCTAACCTTCAAATGCTAGACAAAAGGGAAACAATGGTATTACTACAAGGGAATGTGACTTCTTGGGTATATTATGGATTATTTATAGATAAAATATTGTCTTGCATATGTCAAACTTTTTTTGGAATATTGGTATATGTATTCAGTTAAGAAAATGCAAATGTATGTAAGGGTTGCTAAATGCAGAGCAAGTTTCTGTCATAATGTTTCTTCTCAATTAACAAATACTAAAAGTAGAAATAATGTCAAGAGAGAGCTGAAAACATTTTTAAAAATCATTCAGTTCAGAAAGGGGTCCTCATCCTTGATAATATATGAACTTACTGGTCCAATGCAAAGAATGATGAGTAAAAAACCAAAATACATGTCCTGCTATGGAATTAAGCAATCCTAGTTAAATACTTTATCTTAATATGTATGTGTAAAATATGGTGACAACTCTCATCCTGCTTCAAAGTGCTGTTGTGATAATATTCAACTATGGTTATTAAAATTAAGCAATAACCATAAAACTGACTTGAAAAAAAGCAAAATGTATATAAGTGATTATAGCAACAAACTATAAATTAAATTAAAAAAGTAGGATGAGGAACTTTCACTTTTAAAATATGTACTATTTGATTTCTTAAAGTTTTTACAATAACCATATATAACCTGTATAAGAAAAATCAGTAAGTATAAACATATTAAAACACAAAAATCTCCATCCTAAATTGATCATCTTCACAGATAGACTCCCTAAAGGATAATGAAGTTAAATAGAAAGCTAAGAGACCAGCTGCAGATGACAAGAACATGTTGAAATAGAACATTTTAAAGAAACTCAATTTCTCTTGATATAGCAAATTAAAAATACTTGCATAGGATGTTACATATCTAAAACTGCTTTTAAAAGCATCACATTTGATTAAAAAGAAACTGTAACTGATTATTGAATACACAACATAATTGAACACCATAACAGTTACAGTCTGGACAATGAAATGTATAAGTAGCTAATGTATGTGGACAAATCCCTATCTAAGGAATAACTAAGGCCATCCATGGCTTACTTGTAATGGATGAGTCAAAATGTACCTTTTCCTACTAACTAAATGCTAAGACAGATGCTTCTTGGTATATCTGTGATTTCTACTGTAACATCCCCAAAATTTAATTTAATTGGATATTACTGGCCAGAAAAACATTATAAAAGAACTAAAAACAAAAATTTATTTCTTGAGAGTATATAATTCAATTGAAATGAAAGTGAAGAAAGAAAAACTGGGTCACACAAATTTAATTTGCATACAGCTTAAAAACATGATTCTGTAGCAGTCTGGTAGTACTAAACATTAAAACATAATTAATCTTATAAGTAGATTAATTTAAACATTATTAAGTATACCAATTTTAAAAGTAACTTGTTCTCAAATGGATTAAGGAAATACAAGAAACTTGCTGTTTACTTTCTAAGAATTTGTTCAAAGATTTCCTCATAAAAATCATTATCAATTCATATGTGAAACAAGGATACCACACCTGAAGATAAAGCATGTAAAACTTAGCTCTCTTGGCATGTAAATTGTCACAGGCCTATTTTCAAGCCCCACCACATAATCTCCTACCCCTTAGATATATTCAGCTTACACACTAAGGAAATGTTTAGGAATGTAAGTCCTTCCGATAGATTTTACAAAAATAATAGTACCTTACAAGTCCTACTAATGGTAATATTCATCATAAATAATTTGTTCTTTGTATCCAAACTATAACAAGAATGATTACATTCTACAATGTAATCTCCAAATTAACATGTGGGTGTTTCACTGAACATTTTACATGATCAGGGTTACATGTGAATACATTTATAGCTTTTTTAAGTTGTAAAGGACTTTAGAGAATAATTTGGATATAAAAGGCAATTGAACTCTGGAAATGTCATGTTGCTGTTATGTGCCGTCGAGTCAGATTCGACTCATAGCGACCCCTCCTTGGGTTTCCGAGGCAGTATCATTACAGAAGTAGATTGCCCCATCTTCCTTGGTCAGTGATAAAGTCAAGAGTAAAGAGAGTTCAAGGACTCACTGCTCAGTGGTCTTTCAATTAACTAAGCTATCAATGCATATGAAGTTTTGAGAGAGAAAGAGACATCTAGAACTTAAACTATAAACATATACATAAAGTCAGGAACAAATAATTATTTCATGCATAATGGTCTTTTAAATTACTAGCTTACCTTATCAAAGGGAGGGTAATAATAAGGTTGTTTTTTATTCTCTGGGAATTTAATGTGCAAAGCTGTTGCATTTTCAGTATATGGATTTGTTTGAACAGTTCCCATTGGATTCAACATTTCTTCAAGTTCATCTAAAACATGCAAGTGATTTTGACTCTTAATAAAAAGTTTTTGAAACTAAACTAAAAAAACCTTTAGATTTCATAACAATTAGTTAAAAAGTGCATCTCTGAAGGAAAGTTTGACAGACAATTACATCAGTAAAGCTCTAATTTCCCGTTAATGCTTGGCACAAAGTTTGAATGTGAGTTTGCCTATATCTTTATAACAAGAAAGTTAACAAAAATTAATGACTACTTCATCTCTTTCTTCAAATTTAGTCAGTATTCCCAATATGGAAAAAAAAAAGAACTTATATTGGTACTACTTTCCCTCTGTCAAAATTAAGTGGCCCATAGGAATTGTCATGATTTCCTCGCTATCTGTGGACTTCTAAATCATATGTAATCTAGTTTTTATGGTCATCTAAGTACCTAAACTGACCGCTTGATAGCCACCAATGACATTCTTCTCATCAAATCTAATGTTCTTAATGATCTTTTATTATCCTGTAACTGCTGACAGAGTTATACCTTCTTCAGTAGTTTCTGTTAACACTCCATTGAAGCAGTACTCCTTTTACCCTCACCAACTGTTTTGTTCTTCATAACCCTAAACATGGTTCATTCACAGAATTATGCATGGTACCTTAGAATTTCAGTGTTGTTGGAAAACCCTGGAGTTCATATTTCATGTGTCTTTCTAATTTCATGGATAAGAAAACTGATGGAGAGATAGTAAGCTCAAAACAAGAGAATAGAGTAGGAGTACAAGCTAAAGTCACCCCTCTCCAAACTAGTTTCTTTTTTCCTTACATTGATTTTTAGGTCAGTTGTTCTCTCTGTACCTTCTGGTAAAAAAGATAAAAGTCCATTCTGCCTAGGCCTAGAGTCCAGAAAATATATATACTCAGAATTATCTCCCAAAACTAGAAAATGTTTACAATGCACTTACAACTTTCAGCTTCTTAATCCACTGCTCATTTAATTATCTCTCATTTCACATATTCAACGGTCTCCTGGATGGAGGCAGCTCTCACAATTTTTACACCTCAAGAGCAGATTTCTCAGCAAATTAAAATCCCGTACTGTGCTATCTATCCAGGAGCATTACACTAATTTGTTCTATTAAATGCAACCTATCTAAACTCAAACGTTAGCATTCCAGCCCTCATATAAGCCCCAAACATACAGAGGCAATTGTACGCAAAAGTGATCACAAAAATAGGAATTTTAATAGAAGTGGAAAATATAAATTGGTATAATCTCATTGGAGAGCAAAATGTGATTGTCAACATTTTACTTTTTAATTCAGTAAACCTACTTTTGGGGATTTACCTTAAAGATATACTTGTACATAAACAAGGATATCCATTACAGCAATGCTTGAATTATCAAAAGATAACTGCTTTAATGAAAAAAAAAAAAAAAAGCTTCTATATACAGACAGATAAGGTGCAAAAAGAAAAGTGCAAAACACTGTACATCATATGCTAATTCATACTGTGCCTATTTCATAAAAATAGAGAGAAAAATAAAACTCTACATTTGCATTTCCTAGTGTTTATATAAAGAATTCTGGAAAGATACACAGAAACCATTAAATATGATTATGTACTTTATAGTGATTGACTGTGTACCCCAGAAGATAGATTATTTACAGTTCCTTTGTTTCCTGCTTGCCCCTACCAGGAAAAACATGAGCTTATATATAGAGTTAGTTGTGTTCATTTCTTACTTTTCATCTTACAGTTTCTCACAAATGAAGTTACATTGATGGTATCCAAGTCAAAACAACCAAATACTGTCATTTTTGCTAAAATTATTAGTCAAGTTACCAAACTGATTCTATAAAACATTGAAGTATGAGTCTAAATTCAGATTTTTCAACAAAGTACTGAACTAAACAATATTTACTCTGCCGTGAAATTATAGTTCCCACTAAGAAGTATGTCAACAAAAGAGTGTGTCAAATGTACAAAAGTTCTCCTATATTTGGGTTATTGCAATTATTAAGAGCAAATTATTGGAGAAATATAAAGGAAATGGTAGGAATGAGAGAACATATACACATACAATATATGAGAACGTGAGGAGTTCATAAGTATGTCAGTAGGTAAGTGGTTTTCAAAAATAATTCCTCATGTAATACTGCTAATATATGGACATTTTCACATACTTATCACTACTCTAATAATTAGTTTAAAAATTTAAGTAAGTTTCCAACTTGATTAAATATATTAAACTTTCAAGACAGGAAGAAAAAAAGAAAATCACTATATGATGCAAAGTTTAAACCAAAAACTCTAACACCTATGAAAGCAGTGTAGACTAATGGAAACAGTTAGGCAGTCCTTCCTTGAAATCCCAGGTTTGAACCAACTGTGTAAGAATGACTAATTATTCTTTCTAATCTTCACCTTCCTTATCTGCAAAATGAGAATAAATCCATTTACCTCATAGGAGTACTTTGAGAATTGCCTGAGAAACACAGGCATGAGGGACGTACTCCACTTACCTTAAACTTCAGGCTAAAGCTATCTAGTGAATAAGTGGGGTTTTTTTTTTTTGTTTGTTTTGGTTTTGTTTTACCACTCTTACCCTGAGTGGCACAGGTGGTTAAGAGCTCAACTACTAGCCAAAAGGTTAGAAGTGCAAACCTAGCCAGAAGAACCTCAAAAGACAGGCCTGGTGATCTACTTCTGAAAGGTCACAGCCTTGAAAACCCTATGGAACAGTTCTATTCTGCACACATGGGGTTGCCATAACAACAAAACTAAACCTCACCATATTAATGAATGTTCCTTCTACTAAGTGAAAAAAATTAGTACAACGAGGGTTAACAGAAGGAACTCTGGTAGTGCAGTACCTAAAGCATCTGACTGCTAACCAGAAGGTTGTGGTTCAAACTTACCAGCTGCTTCACAAAACAAAGATGGGGCAATCTACTTCTATAAAAATTTACTGCCTTGGAAATCTAATGGGGGTTGTTATGAGTTAGAAACAACTCAATGGCAATGGGTTTGGTTTGATTTTAGTTAGGGTTAATAGAGATTGTTACAAAGAAGATCATGCCCCTTAGGAGAACTTCTCAAAGAACTGTAAAAATAAAATGTTTAAACCAAGAACACATCTACTTGAATAAATAGGATATTCAAAGAAAAACCATTTTGAAAATATATTTTAAATATATTATGGAAATACATTTTAAGATAAACATTAAGATATGAGATGATGGTTTCTTTACTACATGAGAAGAATGACTAGTCATAAGGAAACAGTAAGTACTCAATATACCAAAAGTTAATCTTTAACACCAAGGATTAGGATATAAAACTTACCAGGAAAGGAAGACCAGCTATGTAATAATACATCTCCAGATCTCAACTGTCCTTTAAAGTCAAAAACCATTGTATTTACCCAGGCTACAGGATAATGCTGTTAAAAAAAGATACCACTGTTAAATATGTTAAGAATGAACTTTAAGGTATAAACATGTTCATGTCCTTTGTTTCAGAAACATTAGTTCCTGAAATCAAAGAAAATCATTCAAAATGAGAACAAGATATACATAGAAAAATGTTCAACCCTAAAAACCAATGTCTCACAAGAATATAGTAGAGTTGACTCTTGAACTACACAGGGTTTGGGGCACTGAACCCCTGCATAGTTGAAAATCTGTGCATAACTTCTGACTCCCCAAAAATATAATTACTAATAGCCTACTGTTGACCAGACGTCTACCAACATAAACAGATGATTAACAGAGTTCTTGCTGTACAGTTAGAATTTTCACACGAAGACACTATAAATATACACAAAGGATAAGTATATAAACTATACGGCATGATGATTATGTACCATTCATTAAGTAGGAATGGATCATCAAAAAGGTTTTCATCCTCCTCATCTTCACATTGAGTAGGGTGAGGAGGAGGAAGAGGGGTTGTTTCTGCTGTATCAGGGGTGGCAGAGGTAGAAGAGTTGGATGAAGT